GGAGCGTGCGCACGCGCCCTGCATCCCCCGCCGCCGCCGCCTCCGGGCCGCGCGCGGGTGGAGCCAGCGGCCGGGCGTGCGGGGCTTTGTTCTTGGAAACCTGCACGGGTGGACATTGCACCGCCTCCCCGCTGCTCCCCACCCTCCTCTCACCTGCCCCCGCCCAAAACAGCCCGGCTCCAGCCTTTTTGCAACCGGTTGAAGGCTGCTGTTAAATCCCCACCTCGGTCTTCCCTTCTGCAGGCCAAATCAGCCCAGCGCCCTTCCTCCCTCCCTGCACCGGGCCTGTCCCCCGGCCCCCCAGCCGCTTCTGTCGAGCTCCGCTGGACTCTCCGATGGGTCCGCGTGGCTTCCGCAGTGGGGGCCCGAAACTGCGCACGGGACGGCGGGTGTGGCCTCCCCGGTGCTGAACAGAGAGGAAGAACCGCTTCCCTGCACCCGCTGGCAGTGCCCTTACTAGTGCAGCCCAGGATGCCGTTATGCACCAAGGACGCGCTGCTGGGTTATATTCAGCTTACTGTCTGCTGCCAGGTGCTTTTCTGCAGAGCTGCTGCCCAGCCTGCACCGGTGCATGGGATTGTTACGTCTGAAGTGCTTTGCGCTTGTCCTTGTTGAACTTGGTGCGATTTCTTTTGGCCCAGTCCTCCAATATAGCAAGGTCTCTCTGAATCCTAGCCCTGCCCTCCAGCACTAGTACTCCCTGCACCTTGGTGTCATCTGCAAACTTGCTGAAGGCGCGCTGCATCGCATCTTCCAGGTCGTTGATTAAGATATTGAACAAAACCGGCCCCAGGACAGACCCGTGGGGCACTCCACTTGATATAGAGGTGGGAAGCGAGACTGCTCCATAATCAGTACTCAGGGGTATCGCAGGCATCAGAGCTCCCACAAGCGGCAGGCCTGGCTGCACCCAGCAAATAAGCACCAATGTGACATCCGTTCAGGATGACCAGAAGTAGGAGAGGGCCGGCAGGTCCTTCCATGAAGGTATCAGAGTGGAGACCTCGCAGATAAGCCACAGCTGTTGGAGGTGTAGGATGCAGCCAAATCCCCCGTGTCCCAGCAAATTCCCAGCCAAGCAGGTGCCAGGGAACTCGGTGGGAAAATTCAAATGCAGAGAAGCCATCGTGTGCCTAGGAGGTATAGGTCCTGGGGACAGAAGCGAGACTGCCTGGACTATCATTCCCTGGATCCTCCTTTTTTAAAGATTAGTTTTTAAAGGTTTAAAGTTATTGTTTGATAAGCAGGCCACAACTTGCTGGTTGCCTTCCTTCATGGCTTTCAGGGGCATTTTCCATTTCCCCCCTTCATTCTTCTGATTTGTTTTTATCTGGCAGCTCCAGTGTGTAATCATTGAGGCCTCTAATAATCCATTCTGGGTTCTGTCCCTTGCTGCTGTCCCAGGCAAACGGGGCAACACCGAATGTCCTTGGTCCAACTAACCCTGTGGCTTGAGGCAGTGCAGAATTGGCACCAACAGACATTTTTGACAGGAGCATTGAGTACAGTCCTTTGTAGGTACCACATGCTTATGGTCCCATTCATAACCATACCGTGCCCCTCCTTACTGTCAGGTTTCTATGTGCAAGGACTAGTAAACCTTGCAACCCTTCCAACGGCTTAAGCAGCCACATTTAGAGAGATCTTGCATGACACAGGACCCAGCGAGTGTGAAGCAGCTGTATTCCTTCCATGGTTTGGCCAAATGCTGAAAAGCAGAACCCGAGTAAAACTGTAACAGGGCTCTTGAATTTGCATGGCACATTACAATTAGCACAGGCATATTGCACTCATCATCAGTCTCAGAGCAGACTTGTGCCATTTGGATCAGGAGCAAAGGATGATCTCCCTGGTGGCCTGTGCAGTAGCACGGGCCCTCATTAATGACACATCTGGCTGGTAACGTGATACACAGGAGTCCATTGGAGGGCAACAAAATGAGTTAGAGGTCAGGAGACATGACTTGTTAGGAGAGGCTGAGGGAACTGGGCTGATTTAACCTAGAGAAGAGAAGACTGAGAGGTGATTTAACAGCAGCCTTCACCTCCCTGCATGGGGGGGTTGCAAAGAGGATGGAGCTGGGCTGTTGTCAGTGGGGGCAGATGACAGGACAAGGAGCAATGGGCTCAAATTTCATCAAGGGAAGTTGAGGTTAGATATTAGGAAGATCTTTCTCACAAGGAGGGTAGTAAAGCACTGGAGCAGGTTACCCAGAAAGGTGGTGGGATCTCCATCCTTGGAGGTTTTCAAGACCTGGCTAGACAAAGCTTTGCCTGGGATGATCTAGTTGGGGCTGGTCCTGCTTTGAGCAGGGGGTTGGACTAGATGTGACCTCCTGAGGTCCCTTCCAGCCCTCATGGTCTGTGATACTTTCTGGTACTACATTCCTGGGCTCTGGGGAGGAGAACTCTTCTGGGTCCACCTGAACTCTGCCCAGGGCAATGCCCAAATATACCTAATAAATAGGAAGGGCAAAGAAGAAGTCTGGAGTCAGCCTGGAAGGAAAAGAGGAGCAAAGGTTGGGTTGGGAGAGTGTGGAGGAAAATACCTAGGACCTCTGGGAGAGCAGGTAGACTCTATAGTTGTGGCGAGGAACTGGACTGTATGTTCGTAAGAGATCCCAACTCTCAGCCAGCCGCCACCAGAAAACCGCTGCCATTTTCAACCAGGGGAGCAGTGAGGATGAAACCCCAGTCTCACCATCCCAGGGATCCAGGAGGCAGACATGACCCAGGTGCTGACCTAGTCACAGCCCAGTGATGCAACTGGGGAAGCTCGGAAGACTTCCAGTAAGTGTTACAAGACACATTGTCATAAACCAGCAGAGAGGTGAGCCAACCAACTCGGTTCCAGGCATCTCCATGGGGTAGGCATGTTGACTCAGCCTCTGTGCATACAATCTTTCCAGGGCTTTTATTTTTCCTTGATGCTAACCCACTGCTTTTCCCTCTTGTGTCCCAGCCACGCTCCAGCATTGCTGTCTTGGACTGGCCTTCCCCCTTTTCCACAGGTCACCCATTATGGGTGAATACAGGCACTCACTGCAGCAGCACGTGCAGAAAAGGCATACAGTAGTTCTCTGTTTAACGGTGTGTTCTCAGGACTGGAAAAAGACTACATTTACCCTGAGCATGCACTTATCCCAACTTAAGGTAAATAGTGCTTGTGAAATGCATACTACTGTCGGTGCTATGGTGTTATCAGCCCCCAAAACTGACAAGCGCCCATGGTTTTCAAGGCTTCTAATAGTTGTTTTCAGGGCTACTGTAAGGAGCATTGAAAACCAGCAGAGATTAGCCCTGAAGTGGACTGTGGCTTGTCATTGGCAAGGCTTTTTATAGCAGCCCCTTCAACAGCTGCTTCCCCACCCTCACATTTGTACAGCTAATGGAAATACAGTTACGTTGCAAAGCAGACTGGGGTGAACAGGGCTCTGCACTTCAGCAGTTTAGGCATTTAACTGATATACAGAAAATTGATGTTTGTTATCCCATCAGCACTGTGCAGCCCAACTGGGCTGGCTTTTTGTTATGCCATTAAGGAAATCCTGGATTTATGTGGTGTGCATGGAAATGGAGTGCACAGCACCTTGCTCACAGGTTTATTAGTGCTCTCACCTTTTCACCAGAGTCTGGAATTATGCAAGACAGCAGAAAAGGCCTGGTGTACAGCAGGCCAGATGAGGCAGCTGTTGTCAGGCCCGGTAAGGATTTCACTGCCCTGTGAAGCATGGTGGGAGGCTGTTTATCTTGCAGTGCACTTTCTGCTGGTCCCATCCCCCCCATCCTTGCACAGACATCCAACAGAATAGGGAAACGGTCAGAAAACATCTTCCCATCTCCAGGCTGTCCTGAGAGTAGGCAGAACCCATGGAAGTGAAAATCCAACCTTGAGGGAAAAACACAGGGTTGACTTGGAGACTAGAGACCAGAGCAGTGGTAGTTAACAGCACTAATATTACACAGTACCCTGCAACACCCTTAAAAGCATCTCATGTCATCCCAGGGTGCCATATCACCCTATTTGAGAATCACGGGACTAAAGACAGTACTCTTCCCATGGCTGTTTGTCCTTTCTCTCTTCTTCCCCATTCCAACTGCAGTTGGCACTTTGTGGTGACTGAGGATTGAGACACTAATATGAAGCGAGTGCCTTTCTAATCTGCACTGAAAGAAGGGGAGACTGAAAGATAAACTCCTGAGTACATCAAGAAAGGCATAAAAATGGGAGGAGCAGAGGGAAGGATGGCTTGCAAGCATGCGTGTGGTGTGATCCTGAGGAAAGCTTTGTACCTAAGCACATGTTGTTCACGAGCAGCCCCTGGCCTTGCACTAGGAGCACACTGCAGCCCTGGCTGTGTCCCTGGCAGTGTTTCATAGAGGCCTTCTCTCTGCCTGTTCAAGGCTGCTCCTTCACAGAGCCTCATTTCAAGGCTCCTTCCCCTGTTCTTGCAAAGAGTTGTACAAACTCCTACGAGCTGTCATGAAGGGCAGGTCTTTCCAGTAAACCTCAGCCTACACTACAGACACCTCTGCAGTTCCACTATTACTCAGCAAGTACTTGGTGCACACTTAACAAGTGCCCAGTAAAGTCTTGTTCAGTCAAGGGAGCAGATGTAGGTCTTCCGGAACAAGTAGCAAAGGATGCAGATGCTGGGAGCAGAACGTTTCATTTTCATTGCAGAACCCAGTCCTGAGTTTGGAAATTTCCCAACATCACAGCACCGCCCACGAGTCCCTTTGCTTTCAGGCGAGCACTTAGGAAGGTCCAGAGATCTGCAGAGATGGACTTGAATATCAATATTCTTGAATATCCTGAAGATCTCCTGGCCTTGCTGGTCATCTCTGGGTGGCAGCACCATCCTGTCCCATCAGTCTGTGCCACTGCTTTGAGCCCAAGGATGGTGAGTTCACTGAGAGGACCTGCTCTGGGAAGAAATCTAGAGGAGGGGTCCACATGTCATCAGACTCCTCTGCATTGGCCCTGTCACCCTGAAGAGCAATGTGGAGTATGCTGAACAGGAGTGCAGAGGAAAAGGATCCATCATGTTTACACGTGATTTGGCTGTATCAGGTGGGTGTCTATCTACTGGGTAAGGCAATCAGGACTCGTAGTAGAGATGGTATCTTTTATTAAACCAACAAGATTTTTGCAAAAAAAACAAATTCTTTAATTGCAAGCTTTTGGGCACAAACCCCCTTCATCAGGCATTGGAGAAAAGATTGTAAAAGTTCTCCTGGGTAGAAATACCTACTGGGTATTTGCTTGTCAGCTATTACATCAGTTGCAGTAAAATGACTTCTCAGACACATTTGGGACAAGTGCGGAGGCTGCTCCAACATGATGGAGCAGATTCAATTAATCGAGTCTGCCGGAGCGTGGCAATTGCCATGCTCTAGTAGCCTCCTGCGAGTTGTGTATCAGGGTCCCTGCACTTAAAAATGGCAGCC